GGAAGAGGAGGATTAGAAATTAAGAATTCTTTTTCTTTAATTTGTTCAGCTTTCAATTTTCTATATTCCGCAAATGGCATCCATTTTTCCCCAAGAGCAGCCTTTTCTTTTTTTAATTTTTTGTTATAACTGGCTCTCTGTGTGCCGGTAATTTTCTTTGGAATAGAAAAATATCCAGACACTGGAAAAAAAAATGTTCAAAGGAAATTAATATCCCAAAAAAAAATTGAGATCTGATATTCAATTGGGAAAATGCGTATTCTAGTTTATCAATAATTGTTTTTTTTCGGTAATACCTTTTTTTAGATTTTAGAACATTTAGATTTAGAATTTTTGGTTCATAACATTTGGATTTAGAATTTTTTAGATTTAGAATAATTGGATTTAGAATTTTAATTTATAACATTTAGATTTCTAATAATTGGATTTAGAATTTTTAATTTATAACATTTGGATTTAGAATTTTTTTAGATTTAGAAGATTTGGATGTAGAATAATTGGATTTAGAATTTTTAATTTATAACATTTGGATTTAGAATTTTTTTAGATTTAGAACATTTGGATGTAGAATAATTGGATTTAGAATTTTTAATTTATAACATTTGGATTTAGAATTTTTTTAGATTTAGAACATTTGGATTTAGAATAATTAGATTTAGAACATTTGGATTTAGAATAATTAGATTTAGAACAATTGGATTTAGAATTTTTTAGATTTAGAATAATTAGATTTAGAATTTTTTTAATTTATAACATTTGGATTTAGAATTTTTTTAGATTTAGAACAATTCGATTTAGAATTTTTTAGATTTAGAACATTAGAATTTTTAGATTTAGAACATTTGGATTTAGAATAATTGGATTTAGAATTATTTTATTTTATAATTATAAGGGAGAGTCGGTAGTGGCGAGACACGTTTTGTTTTTTTGTTATAGCACTCACATTTTCAAGAACATCAAGTCTGTATATATATCCATGGACAGGTGTGACTCTATACTGCAAATTTAAGTTATACAGTTACAGAACAGATATTGAAAAAAAAAGTTATTGCCGATTTACGATAATGTCTCGCGACTACCGACATAAAAAATCGTCCGTAGTGGCGAGACACTATCTTAAAATCAGAGTCTTCATCGTTCAAACGTCACAAAAACAAAGGAATCAAAGAGAAAGAGTATAATAATTGATGCCTTTAAATCATAATATTGTTTCATTCAATCATAAAAATACAGGCAAATATTTTTCTCATTGTGAGCCGCTAATCCATGTCACAGTTATTAAAAACATATAAGCTGTTCTTCCTGTTCATCTTTTTCAATTTAAACTATAGTTATGAAAAATATTGTCGACAAAACGTACAAAAATTATATCAAATTCATTAGGACATGTACAATATTATTAGATATAAAAAAGCCACTGCCGACAACAAGTGTCTCGCCAATGCGGAGACAGCATTTTTCGGTAATGACGATGTACAATCCTATGCATCGAACAATAATTCATAGTGCTCTGGAAATTTTGAAGGAAACTTAAATACTAAAGACTCAAAACATTTAACCCTTCAGAAAATTCCGGAAATTTTTATATATTATCACTTATACCTATGGGAAATAAAACTTTTAAAATATCTTGAAACTGTTATTAACAGTATAGCGATATTTCGTACATCAAAAACGTATGTATCATATTGAAAAGTTAAAGCACAATAAAACTTGACTTTCAGACCAGAAGTGCCAGCACAGTCAGTTCAGCTGTCTGAAATATCCTAATGTCTCGCCACTGCGGACAACGCCTTATCCTTTAGTAATTAATATTTAGATGCTGGAAAACTCAAAAATGTTAAAAATCGCGAGAGACATCGCGATCGCGAGATACCGCGCGGAACTATAAAAGTAATAGTGGGGGTAGCGCGTGACTACTGGACTACAGTGCCTATAGCTGCTAGTAAGTGGAAAAACCGTTGCCTGGCTTATACAGTCAGCCGTCTTGCCGTCTGACTTAACAAGGATATGTATCCCCTCACACAACGCGTTGACTGTGAGTCGCGAGCGTCGACTACACGAATTTTATTAAAAGGATTATTTATTATAAAATTTGTTTATAAAAAATATTTTTTTTACTCTATATAATTATTGAAAGGGTAGAAAAATCAAAAATGATATTAAAACTCGCGAGGGACTTCGCGTTCGCGAGATAACGCTCGGGTCGCGGCAGGTATACAAGGTACAAGCCGCGCAACGCGGTAGCGTGACCCAGCTACTACACAAAGGGGATCCTACAAGGGATCTTCAAAACAAGATGTCTAAATTTTATTATGACAGATGAATTTAGAAAAACTATTTGTTTACGAATTTCTCATTTTATTATTTATTTATAATAAAAAAAATTAATTTTTAAATTTATTATAACAAAATTTTAATTTTACGCACATTTTAAGAAAATTTTAATCTTTTAGGGAATTTTTATCATTATTGTTAGTTTAGAATAAGAAAAGAAAAGAAAAGAAAGAAGTAAAAGGATTAAAACAGACCAATCTGAAGTATCCCTCCGGGGCCTCCAAAAATTTAATTATGTTACGTCCGGAAACGCAACATAGTTAATAAATTTTAATTTATTTTTGAGTCTAGACGCATTGTCCACAACTCGGGAAACTTTCAAATTGGTTCGTTTTATTTGAAGGAAAATTTAAAAGGATTGAAAAAATAATGATGCACTGAATACACCAACATCTTTTCGGAAGGTGTTTAATAAAAAAATAATGATCAAATCTTTTAAGGAATGAAGGAACTAAAATGCGCAACTTAATCGCACCACGTCCTTCGGAATTAGAAGTATGACAAGAAAAAAATAGATAAGAGGAGAAAAGTAATTAATTATGCAATAAAAGTACTTACTTTTTTAGATTTTATTCATAAATGTTGAAGATCGTTGAAAATTTGTTTAAATTTGAATTTTGGGTCTTGGCTTCGTGATTAAGAATTGAATTAATTGAACTTTGACTAAATGCACTGATATTTGAGAAATTTGACTGACTGCACTAAGAATTAAGAAATTAGACTTGAGAAATTTGACTTTAGAATTTAGATTGATTAATTTTGACTGAGAAATGTTGACTGACTAATTTTGAATGAGAAATTTTGACTGAGTTTTTGATTCAAATCTTTAGTTTTTATATTATTATCCCTACTTAAATTTTTTAGTTGGGTGGAAATTTGGAGATGAAAATTTTATAGAGTGGGAGGTTAAAAAGATCAGTGATTAGATTTTTTATAAAAAACTTATCTAAAAGAAAGAAGTCATTGGATCTTTCAGGCCCAGCCTTGCAAGGGATGACTTTGCGTGGGCGTATCTTTAAGATTAGGGTATTTCGAAAAAGTGGGGAACTATAGTTTACACTATTTTTAAAAGATGGAGCCAAAATTCACTTTTTAAACGAATTTTCAAAAGTACAAAAATTCTTAAAATTATTTATGACATACATGTTTTTATGAATATTTAATTACATAATGTTAAAAATTTACACATTCAATTACAAACACATACCTTTTTTTATACATATATATAAATATAAAAGATAGTTAAATAAAATTATTTATATATAATTAAATGACAATAGTAAAAAAAAAGAAACATGTAAAATTTCTGTTACTTATAGTGTAAATGATTAATTATTTTCATAATAATGTTTAAAATTTCAATATTAATTTAAATTGTTGATTAAGATTTAATTAATTTTATTTTTTTAGTAATTTGAATATATAGTTATAAGTAATAAATTAATTTGAAATTCCAAACATTAATATTAAAACTTAACTAAAAATTAAAAGAATATTTTTAAGAATTATTTAAAATTATTTAAAATTCACTAAATCAACGTGTGAGATATTATTTAGAAAAATAGAAATATAACAGATTTTGTATCCTAATATTTTTTATAGTTTTATGACTAACAGATGTAATTTGATGGTAGAGACTCTTGGACTTTCGTGGGAAAGTGATAAGATATGAAAAAGACCCCAGCAGTCAACAGCTGGAAGGATGCACTTTAGAGTTTCTAAAAGATTTAATAGCTATATTCTTATCTATATTGAATTTTCCAAAATTTCAAAGTGCATCCCACGAGTGAAGACAACTGAAAGTACTTTGTCTCGTTATCGGTTTTAAAAGAAAGACAAACAATTTACACAAAAAAAATATGAGACGTAGTTTAGATAAAACAGATGTTTTCCATACAAAATTTACAAAAAATTAAAAGGAAAAAGAACATAAAATTTAATAAAATAACGCAGGACGTTACAGTAATATATATATATTACGAGCATATTTTATTAGAAATTATTTAATTATCATGAAAATCGTTATAGGAGGGTTTTTGAGGTCGCTTATCAAGAATCTTTAGTCGCTCGGGTACCTTGATAAATAAGACACAAGAATTATTTAATTAATGAATAATATAGTTTATTTTTGTAAAGATTTCGTTGCTCTCGGAGCGAGGTTGTGCTCAGGACGAGAATTCGGTAAAGACTAATTGAAAAAATGGCGACCGCTTTTCCAAGCGTCGCTTGTGAAAAAAGAGAAAAGATAAATTTTGGGAAAATTATTGCAGTTAGAAAAGGATAAAAAAGATGCAAAAAGAGAGGGTAAGAAGAGTACGGAGTACATTGCTGGGCCTGGTGAACGGACCGATTTTTATGATAGGGTCGGCCGTAGGTACCTAGCAAGGATGGCATGATCGCCAGGCCAGCAAGAAAACTCAACTTTAGAGAAACAAAATTTAAATATAGAAAACTTAAATAAAATAATATTACTGAGCACAACCACAATTACACGATATACAATTATTACTTAAATGTAGTGTAATACATTGTGTGTATGTGTGTACTTGTGTAAATGTTTGTTTAATTAAAACTTGTGTGCTATACAAAATTATTTTATAAAGTTCAACAAAAAACAATAATATATTTCTAGACGCCACAGTACCCCCCTGCTAGTGATAGAGTCACGAAAAACCGGCTTGAAGGCGATCTGGAAATCTTACACGCCTACCCGCTCGCGTACGTATACCACGTTCAGGATCCACATTTGGTTCAGGTACTGCAGCTGGTTCCGGAACTGGAACCACTTGCGGAACGTCTCTCGGAAGTGGTTCCGGACCCAGTATTGGTGCCGGAACATATATTGACACTTCGTCGTCTTCACTATCACTCTCGTCGATGATATCTTCCGCAATATAAGCTGGTTTCAACCGATCTATTGAAACTGTAATGTTTTTGCCGCGCACTTCAATCACAAATGTTTTTTCCCCGCGCGAAATAACCTTGAAGGGTCCCTCATACGGATTTTGAAGCGGTGCTTGGACAGAATCCGTACGGAGAAACACAAAGTGACTCGTTCGAAGACCCTTGAAAATAAATGTTGACTTGGTGCCATGCCTTGTACCTTGCGTTGGTCGCAACGTAGGGTAAAAGGTACCGTGACCGACACCCAGACAGTGAACGATACCTGCTATTAAAAACGATAATAACTATAAAAATAATAATATTTAATTAAATATCACTAGTAAATTAATTAATATACAATATTTAAAAACTTATACAGTTTATACAAAATTTTATATGTTTATATTTTCCTCAATATTTAATACTTTCTAGAAAACTAACCTTCAAAAATTTGCTTTATTGATTACAAATTTTATAAATATGAAAAAATTGTTAAATAATTATATTTTAAAAGCAACTTTTTTTGTACATTAAGTCTGAATAATAAAATTTATGATAATACTAATAAATATCATGTTACTTAAATAGAAGTTTAAATATTTTTTATTTTATTAAAGGGTGTCGTTCACTGTTTTCATACCATACATTTTTAAATTAATATTATAAACTCTTATCAAGGTGTTTTTTAATTTTAAACTTGTGTACTATAAATTTTAACACAAATCTTTTATTTAAAATTTATTTTATAACTAAATCTTTAATAAATTACGATAAAATGTCATTTAAAGTTGAAAGTATGCCCAGGGTGTCGGTCACTGTACCCCTTACCCTACTCATATGTTCTCGTAGTTCCTTGACGAAGGCAGATTGCGTGCGTGCACTGACAGAGTTGTCTGCAGAACACAGTAACTCCCCAGGAAGACGAAGTTGTTGTCCGTACAACATCTCAGCGGCTGTTGACTGCATATCTTCCTTCCACGCTGACCTGATTCCCAACAATACAGAAGGTAAAATTTTGGTCCACCTGGAATTATTATGGCACTTGATGGCTGCCTTCAGTTGTCGGTGCAATCTCTCCACCATCCCATTTGCTTGAGGATGGTAAGGCGTTGTTTTAAAATGAGAAGTACCAGTCAGTTGGTTAAGTTCTCTGAACAGATACGACTCAAATTGTCTCCCCTGGTCCGTAGTTATCCTCAGTGGGGTTCCGTAACGCGAAATCCAAGTCGAATAAAATGCACGCGCGACAGTCTCGGCCTCTTGATCCGGCAGAGGTTATAGCGTAACTTTGGCTCGTTGACAGTTGACGCAATTTCTCGCCCAGGTTCCGCAATCCCTTTTAGCTGACGGCCAAATATAACGTTGCGTTATCATCTTAACCGTAGCTTTTACTCCAGGATGGCTGAGATTGTGGAACAACTCGAAAACTTTTTTCCGGAACGGTTCCGGAATGTACGGGCGGGCACTTGTTGTGCTGACATCACACACCAATGATACATTCGAATCTGGCATCTTGATCAGCTTCAATTGTAAGGAAATTGATTTTCCGGACTCGAGCTGTTTCAGTTCCGGATCTATTTTCTGCGCCAACTCAAGTTCCTTAAGATCCAGGGTAACTTGGACTTCTTCGATGCGTGACAAGGCATCAGCCACAACATTTTCCTCTCCGGCGATGTGACGGATGTCTGTAGAAAATTGACCTATAAAATCCAGATAACGAAACTGACGCGGTGTACTTTGATGATCCTTTTTCCTGAACGCATATGTAATCGGCTTGTGATCGGTAAAGATTGTAAATGTACTTGCCTCGAGCATATGCCGAAAATACTTTACTGCTTCATAGATAGCCAGAAGCTCGCGATCATATGTTGAGTACTTGCGCTCAGTGGTACTCAACTTCCTTGAGAAGAATGCAAGTGGCTGCCAAGTACCATTTACTTCTTGGTGAAGAGCGGCGCCGATTGTGAAATCGGACGCGTCACAAAAAATGGCCAATGGACAGTTGACGGCCGGATGGAAAAGAAGTGTGGCCTGTGCCAAACTTTCCTTTGTCTTCTCAAAAGCATTCTGTACTTCATTTGTCCATACAACCGGAGCTTTTCCCTTAACATTTCCGTGAAGTAGCTCGTTTAATGGTGCTTGAATTTCCGCGGCTCTGGGTATAAATCGTAGATAAAAGTTTATCATGCCCAGAAACTGACGTAACTGTTTAACAGTCTGTGGTCGCGGAAAGTTCCGTATCGCGTCAACCTTTCCGGGAAGACGTTGAGTACCACGTTCACTGACACTGTATCCGAGAAACTTCACTTCACATTGACCGAACACGCACTTTGACGGGTTAATTACGACACCATACAGTTTTAAACGATCGAATAAAATTTGTAAGTGTCGCAGATGTTCCTCCGGTGACGAAGATGCGACGAGGATGTCGTCGATGTACGTAAAGCAAAAATCAAGATCACGAAGCACTTCGTCCATGAATCGCTGGAAGGTTTGAGCTGCGTTCCGTAAACCGAAAGTCATGAACGGAAACTCAAACAACCCGAACGGTGTCGTGATCGCGGTTTTACATATATCCTCCGCGGCCACCGGAATTTGGTGAAATGCTTTTACCAAATCAATTGTCGAAAAAATTGTTTTTCCCGCGAGATTGTGCGAATAATCTTGAATATGACGAACCGGATAACGATCAGGTTCCGTCCTGGCATTTACACCGCGGTAATCCCCACGCGGTCTCCACTCGTCATTCTCTTTAGGGACGAGGTGGAGGGAGGAGGACCACGAACTCTCTGATGGACGCGCGATACCTAGCTTCACTAAGGCATTAAAATCCTTTTTCGCGATTTTTAATTTTTCTGGAGATAAGCGTCGCGGTTTACTCGAAACAGGCGGTCCTGCTGTTGTCCGAATGTGGTGAACGGTATTATGTTTGACCGACGCGGTGCCGGCAGGACGTGTTATCTCCGGAAATTTCAATAAAAGTTCGTGATATTCACTCGAGCCAGCGACAACTTTGATATCCGGATATTCGCTTGTTACACTGTAAAACTAGAGGTATTAATGTAATACCAACTTTAGGTACTAAATTGCCTTTTGGTTCTATTTTAATACCTAAAATCGGTACTATTTTAGTACCTTTTTTTTACAGTGTACGTATTTTCCGGTAGAGGTTAAGCCCGTTTTCTTATCAATCAAAGATCTATTTTTAACATCTACGAGTAACTCGTAAAATGCCAAAAAATCGACGCCAATTATTGGTCTAGTGACGTCAGCAACGACAAACCTCCATGTGAAGTCGCGACGGAGTCCAAAATCAAGGGTCATTGTATTAGTACCGTACGTCGCGATAGTTGTTCCATTTGCCGCGGAAAGTTCGTAAGTCGATTTGGGAAGATGTTCGCGGATCATAGACCGCGGAAACACACACAAATCGGCACCTGTATCCACTAAAAATTGCGTTCGCGAGCCTCTATCTTGTATAAAAATGCGGCGTGAATGCACTGGGCCAGTACCGTCTGACGCCATTACGCACTGGCTGCCCCGTTTCCCGCCTTGTACGCGCAAGGTTTTGTACATTTAGTCGCGTTAGGTCCATGACGCGCGTGGTACCAGCATACGCCATCGTCCGCGTAGCGGCCGCGAGAACGAGAGCGCCCGCGAGATTTCGATCTACCGCGCGGATGTTGAGAAGCACTTCTTCCATGGACTTCGGACACTTCGAGTAATTTCGTCATTTTTAGGTCCATCGACGTTAACACGTTAACAATTCAGGATCAGAAATGTCAAAATTCGCTAGTTTCACTCGCGGTTTATTATTCCCGAGCGCGCCGCGAAGGAGATCCATCAGCTCCTGACCATTAGGTTGATTTTGTTGATAGGCCATTTTACAATGAGGAATTTCAAAAAAAAATGCACAAAACACAAAGAAAAGAACAACTGGAAAACGTAATATGTAAATTTTATTGATAACAAAAATTTGAACTTTGTTACGGTTGAGTCTCCCGACTTGCGTCTATTATAATCACGATACTCGCACGATTATTTATTTAATTTTTTAATAAAAATCACGTCGGGGTCACCACTTTAGTCGCTCGGGTACCTTGATAAATAAGACACAAGAATTATTTAATAAAAGAATAATATAGTTTATTTTTGTAAAGATTTCGTTGCTCTCGGAGCGAGGTTGTGCTCAGGACGAGAATTCGGTAAAGACTAATTGAAAAAATGGTGACCGCTTTTCCAAGCGTCGCTTGTGAAAAAAGAGAAAAGATAAATTTTGGGAAAATTATTGCAGTTAGAAAAGGATAAAAAAGATGCAAAAAGAGAGGGTAAGAAGAGTACGGAGTACATTGCTGGGCCTGGTGAACGGACCGATTTTTATGATAGGGTCGGCCGTAGGTACCTAGCAAGGATGGCATGATCGCCAGGCCAGCAAGAAAACTCAACTTTAGAGAAACAAAATTTAAATATAGAAAACTTAAATAAAATAATATTACTGAGCACAACCACAATTACACGATATACAATTATTACTTAAATGTAGTGTAATACATTGTGTGTATGTGTGTACTTGTGTACATGTTTGTGTAATTAAAACTTGTGTGCTATACAAAATTATTTTATAAAGTTCAACAAAAAACAATAATATATTTCTAGACGCCACAAATCTAATGTCAGTTTTTAAAAATTTTAAATTTCTGATACAAAATGACACGCAATTTAAAAAATTTTAACAGATTCACATGAAACTTGTTTCTCTGAAGGTAAAGTAAAGGTAAGAAGAGAGGAAGATCCGACCAAGGTATGATTGGAAAATGATCCAACTAGTAAAGGTAAAAATAGTGGAAGATCCGACCAACAAAGGTAAGAAGAGAAGAAGATCCGAGACCAGTAAAAGTAAAAATAGTGGAAGATCCGACCAACAAAGTATTAAAATTTTTTTCATCATACACGAACGTATTTGCTTACTTTCTAAAGCTGTAAAGCAAGTAGAAAGTGGCTTTTAGCAACTCGAGAGAGAGAAAAAAATTTTTTGCGCTTGCGCGTATGCAATATAATTACACTTTCCTCCCTAGGGACAGGGAAGAAAAAACTTTCTTCCTCATAAAACAGGTGGTGTTCTGTGGGATATGGTTTATATAAAAATGCTTATCAGAAGGTTATCCCACTAATAATTAAAAGACTCCATTATAACATTAACAATTTATTATTAAAAGACTAAAAAATATATAATTATAAATGTTTGTCTACTGACATGCCAATTTCAGTGTTTGGCATATGGCTGCCGGATTTATACTAACTCCACATATACATCAGCTGATCACACACATACATTGCTTATTTGTTCATACTGCGCAACTCAAACTAAATCTTACTAAATAACGTAAGAAGGGAAACTCATGAAATAATAAAGGTGCCGTTCACACCTTGAACGTGGGGAGTGAGAGGGGAAGCGCCGAGCCAACGACTCCCCACATACTCCCCCCCGAGTGTTAACGAATAAAAAACACGGAGAAAATAAATATATTTTTAAAAACAATAAAAATCATGATTTCCAAAAATAGAAAAATATTCTTTATAATATTATACTAGTTTTCATAAAAAATAATATTTTATAATAATTACTTAAATATCGTTAATTATCAAATTATAGAGTTTACTATTTATAAAAATAAGTTTCGTTAAATTATCTAATTCGTAGATAAAAAATGTTATGATAATCATCATATAATACTGATTAGAGTTAAATTGAAATTTAAAAATTTACTTCGGTCGTAAGTTAAACATAACATTTTTCTTTTTGTTAACGTAAGTCCTCAATGGAGGTTTAACATTTAATACTAAGTCAGGAGTTGCAGTGACAAGTACAGGTAACTTTGGGATCGTAGGTACATTACACACAGGTTGTATCACAGAGTCCTTCGCAACATCTACGGCATCGCGTACAAAAAAGGCGGGTTTCAAATTTTCCACAGAAACTTGTTTTTTTACACCGTTGATATCAATTTCAAAAACTTTTTTAGATGTGCGATTTATTACTTTATGTGGGCCGGAGTACGGGCACTCAAGTGATTTCTTTGTAA